ATTATGAAGAATAATTCTGATCCCAGCATTTCCATTAGCATCCCTTTACAAAGGTAAAGGTATTTATCTAGTCAACAAAATTACTGACAAAAATGTTTGTTGACAAAGTTTTTTTTTTATTATTGGTTATCAACAAGGGCTGAAAACAATTTGATTAAAGGGGTGGTTCATTGCGATTTCATTGCGATTCTGTCTTCTAACGATTCTAATGGATTCACAGGTTTCAAAATCAATATTCAAAAGCAGCGGTTCTCAATACTGTTCCTCGCGTCCCCCTGCTCTTCACACACTCTGCATCTCTCTCTCTAGCATTTACACATAACAGTGTATCTAAAAGTATGAAACAACAACAAACAAAAAACATAGGCCTACCATTAAAAGCCATGCTTGCACAGGTTCTGCGCGATCCTCTTCAATAATATCCTCTTCTTCTCAATCGGGCTCAAACTGATAAGCGATATTAATGATGCCGTTGTTTACAATACAACCGGAGCACATGCCGCTGAGGTGAGGGGCGGGTCGTTCAGACACGCACTAGAGGCGGTTTAGCCAATCACAACACACTGGGCTAGCTAACCAATCAGAGCCCATCGCCTATTTCTGAGGGTGGGGCTTCATAAAAGCAGGAAAAGATCAGTCGTTTCTCAGAGAAGGGACAGAGCTGTGTGGAACAAAGGTAAATTATGTGAAAAATAATGCGTTTTTTTTTAAACGAAGCATTAACACATGTTAGACTGCACCTCATAAACACAATCAAGCCTAAAAAAAAAACCAGTGAACCACCCCTTTAAATTATTTATTTCCACTGTTGCCTATATGAAAAAACAGCTACACTGTGAGATATTAGAAATGCACTAGCAATGTTTTTTGAAAGAAGGAAAATATAGGAAAAATTGATTTAAATAATCCAATCATTGTACATTGGGGATTGACCCGCTTGAGCTGGAAGAGCTGAATACCGGTAAACTGAACCACTTTGCAGATGGATTAATATGTTCACTCAAATGATCCTATATATACAGTATATGAGATTAGTCAGCTAAATCCACAACATGAACATAATATTGCAACTTACTTTTTGTACAGACAATGAAGTGACTGCATAAACAACTGTAAATTAAGTTATGTGCTAGTCAGATTGTGACTGAATATGCTGTTCTAAAAACAAAGCAGTACACGTTGTGCAACATCCTCCTAAACAGTAAACACGAAACACTCTAAAACACGAAAATGAATAATGGCCTATTCATACCAAGGACGATAACCATAATTATAATGATACAGGTATAGTTTTAAAAATCGTTTTAAACTTATTAAAACAATAGCAGAGTTCACACCACAACTATAACAACTATAGTGATAACAGCACAGGAATCACATATTGGAATCACGTTCAGAATTTTTTTTTTCCACCTGACGAGTGATTAAAAACATTGACAGCCAATCAGAATCCATCCTACATTATAGTTATTCTTTGTGTGAACAGGCCTTAAATTTAAAGCAGGGTGATTTCACAAGACAGTCATTAATACAATATAATAAAACAAAGTGTTATTTTGTTGGCTAAAATTATGTCATTTCAGTATAATAAACAAATCAAGTAAAATGGGTGGAAATGTATTAAAGGGGTCATATGATGCAATTAAAATTTTTCCTTTCTCTTTGGAGTGTTACAAGCTCTTGGTGCATAAAGAAGATCTGTAAAGTTGCAAAGACTAAAGTCTCAAATCCAAAGAGATATTCTTTATAAAAGTTAAGAGTCAACCACGCCTACCTAAAACGGCTCGTTCTAACACGCCCCCACATGTCTACGTCACAATGTGGGAAGATTTACATAACACCGCCCAAATCCGTAATTATGTCCCCACTGGATGCAACAAATGCCTCGTTTATAATGGGTTTTACTGGTTTTGTCTCGTCACTCCAGGACACGGCATCACAGTATGGGAAGGGGTGTAACATTTCCGTCACACGCTTGAGGTATTCGGTCAATCACAACGCACTGGATAGCTGGCCAATCAGAGCACACCTCGCTTTTCAGACCGATGAGCTTTGTAAAAATCGACGCGTTTCAGAAAGGCGGGGCATAGAGGAGAAAGAATAATGTACAGTATGTGGAAAATAATGTGTTTTTTTAACCTTAAACCGCATAAACACATTTCATTACACCAAATACACAAAATAATGTTCTTTTTAGCAGCATCATATGACCCCTTTAATATGATGAAATAATGATTACATTTAATTACATTTTGTGGACATTTTTTTCAAAGAAAAAAACTAACTAATTCCCAGTCTGGACACAGAGGAAGAAACGGTTAAAAGTTATGGCCTAGATCTTGTGCTAGAAACTGATTTAAGAGGATGGGAACTTTTCATCTCCTCATGCACCTTTGCATTTCAGTGCAAAATGAGTGTGTGTCTCAGTGCATCTCAGTGTGTGTGTGTGTGTGTGTGTGTGTGTGTGTTTTATTGGTTCTGTTGCTGCTTGTCTGGGAGTATATGGGTAAGGAATACCCTGAATTCCTGTCATGACTCATTTTGAGGTTGAAACAGTCAGGCGAGCAGGTCTGTGCGTTACAAAACTCTGACAGCCTTGACTCTCTGACTCGTTTCAGATTTATACAATGTGGCAAACAAAGCATAAACGGACACTGAAGGAAGATATTTTAATAAAATTGTGTTTTGCCAGCATTTCTTTCCATATGACCTACTTGAATGAAATGCGCTTTTCCTTTTTACTCCAGAATTACAGTTAGGTCTGAAATGAAAAACAGCACGAATGTCGGAGGTAAACTGATTGTAAAGCTTTATTTATATAGTCCATAAAGCTTCATTTAGTATAAAAAATTACTAAAAGTCAACATAATGTCCCAAATGACCCTATTTGCTTTCTACATACACATTTGTGGTTGCTTATATAGATTGAATGATTCATTGATGCACGTTATTCAAAAAAAAAAAAAAAAGACTGAAATTACTTTTCATTTTATGCTGACATCAATAAGGAGACTATTGAATAATGTTAACCAATAGTCAAACAGGATTTTATGCATTATTTTAGTGAATCTGCATTGAGTCTGACTGTGTTCTGGTATAAAATACACACTTTTCAAGACCCAGTTGATTCCCCTTTACATTGTTTCTCGCTGAATATCTTGTTTCAATTGAAAATGTGTCACATTATGCAAGTAAAATGGGTTGCGACCAGCAACTCACGCTCACTTTCAGGTATCTGCATGAACAACTTTACAATAAATCAAAAAGTGTCTCCATATTTGGAACCTTGGAAATATAACAAAGAACATATGAGATTGTGTTTACATGGCTGGTTTACACATCTTGTCCATTCTAAATTATCATTAAATTTCACTTAAGGAATATATGGATAAACAACAAATCAACCTTGCACTAATGGCTGTTGTTGCAAAGATATGGATAGCGGTCACATGAGAACCTCCCATCTGGTCATGGCCATCAGTGTTACTAACCTAATGTGTCATGTCATTTAGGCCTCGATAGCTCGCGTGTAGACCTCTGCGGATTTGGTTTAAGCTCCCAACACCTGTCAGAAAATGTAATGCGATCCCAGTGTTCAATTTAACCATGTCTCTCTATAGTACGCGGCCACCCTTTGGTTCGGGCTTAGTCCAAAGCACCTGTCAAAGAGTGCACAGGTAATCTTTTTTTAATGCTTCCGTTAAGTGCTAAGCTAGCAGTTTGGATATGCTGCATTAAATATATGACCTGGATAAAAGTGTAAAGATGACAGATTAAGTCAAAAAAGACAACTCTGCAAGCCTACGAGGTTTCTCTCTCAAGCGTTTCATGCCTATGCTGTCAAATACACTGGCCAGTTCCACTCAAAGCAGGTAGACATATATTCTGCTCTATATTTAACACTTCCAAACATGTCTCAGAAAATGAAAGAACGAGGAAAGGAGTGGAAAGAATGTCAAAGACAGGCAAATAAGGGGAGTATGATGGAGAGAATGATAGAAAGCAATACAGAAGGAGAGAAGGAGAGAGACTGAGCAAGTGGGAAGAGATCTATAGTGGTGTGAGAGAAAATGGGTTACATTTCTCCTCTCTTCGACAGTCTATTTTCAGTAGCTACTTCTGGAAAGGAGAGCAGGCAGTTAGCACCATATAACCTTAACCACTCAACGCGCAGTAACACAACAACAGTACAGGCTGAATGCAGAAGTTGAGACATTTGTACTTGTCTACAACTAGTTTTGATTTTTCTTTAGTTTTTGATGGGATGGGATTTAACTAAGCCTGTTAACTAAGCCAGCCTGCGAAGCCTGTTTCCGTCTGTAAAATATAATTGTGACGTTTCTCACAATTACTACTTCTTGTAATTTCAGTCTCCCTGCTGTGCATTTATATCTTCCAATTGCACATTTATATCTCACTGTTTGACTACACCTCACAATGTGGCTTTATATCTCATAGTTGGAACTTTTTAATCTCACAATTGCAATTTTATATGCTAGAAATGTGACTGTATTTCACAATGTGACTTGGCAGAAAATGTCCTACAATGTGACTGTATTTCACAGTGATTTGTGTCTCACAGTGTGACTATATCTCACAGCTTAAATTTATTTATTATCTTAAACATTACCTGATGCCTTTTTTTTTTTTTTTACATTGAGTTGGAAACTGGCTTCCATATATAACATATTTTTCTTAGAAAATCTAATTACAACATAGTCAAAGAAAATGTGTGGCGTAATCCAATGGCTATCAGCGTTTTCTATATTAATACAGGAATATCCCACAGGACTGACTGGATTCAGGTTAGTTTTGGAATCCAAATCTAGATCAAGCTTGAGACTTTTGTCCTGACAAGACTTGTAACATTTTTGGTAAATGTTACTCCCTGCTAGCCAAAATTCAGAACTAGTAATTCTAAGACACTTCATGAACATGGCCTGCATATACTTGTTGAAGGTGCAGTGGTGAAACGGAGTCATAGATCTTTATTTTCTTACCTGTTTGCTGTACTTGACAGTTTGGCAGCCGTAATCGGAGCATTGGTCTGAGCTGAGTGACATGGCGTCTGCATTACCGTTGCCGTTGCCAGTGAAGGTGTTAGTGGGGGGCAGTTCCTGCACAGCCTGGTGCTTCTTGCCTTCCACGGGTGGTGAGTTGGGCTGAAGGTGCACTGCAGGCAAAGGTGAGCTGGACTTGTAGTGGCGGGCCAGATCTGGGCTTGACTGGTGATGTCTCGAGCCAAGTCTTGGACTGCTGGTGTCTCCGTTAGCTGCTGCACAATAACGTGCTGCAATCCTCTCGCTGGCACTGCTGGCCTCTTCATCCTCCTCTTCTTCATCACCTCCCCCACGTCTGCAACCATTCACTGTCATAATTCCACTGTATAAAGAACGCTCAGATTTGGCAGTACCATTATTACGCTTGTCTCTACGTGGTTTGCGCCCACGTTCATTTTGGGAGCCCTGGGCTTGTAGAGGGGGAGGCTGTGGACTGAAAAAGTCCTCTTCTGGCTCCTTCTTCCCAGCCTCATAGCCGTTCTTACCTTGTGCCCCACACTGTCGAGCTGTCACAACCAGAAGGATCACCAGAATAACGGCGGCAGCACCAGCCAGGACACCGATGGCAACGCTCAGGCGTTGTTTACCCAAAGCTCTCTCACTGTCTGGGTCACCTGCAATATCCATATAGAGGGGGACTGCAAGGCTGCGGGCCACCTGAGTGAGAGGGAGAGAGACATACATAGAGAGGGAGAGCAAAAATGGAAAGTCATAAATGGTGTGTCTGCCCTTTAAAAACTGCATCCTCATTTTACAGCTCTGTCTGCTGAACCACGCACACACACACACACACATACACATTCATCCCCACTGCAAGGCCCAGATTTCTCAATTATCATGTCAAGGCTTGGATATTCAATCATAGTTATTCTGCGCAGGCAAGTGTGACTGTGTATGTGTATGCAAGTGTGTTTGTGTATCTTTCATCTTTGTATCTGCATGTGCTTCTTTCTATCCAATATCCAATGTGGGTCAACAGCAATATGATGCATGAATATTTATAAACAGCAATATTAAAAAAAAAAAAAGTGCTATTTCGTGCTAGGATTTCCTAGTTGTGCAAAGTTATCAGTAAGTTTCTGACTGCAGTTCACTTCTTTGTTCACTTCTTTGTCAAATAAAATGACTCCATTCAGTTTCAATCCATTTCACATTAATTGTTCCTGTTTGGTTACATTCTACACTGGCTTATTGTTCAACAGCACATACTGTTATTCTTTTTCTATATTGAATTACCCTTGGTTTGCATTTATTCGAACAGCATGCTGCTCTGATGTGTCTCACCTGTGTATCCACCAGCGTAGCATTGGCCAAGCTCTCATTGATGAAGACATGCACCAGTGCTGTGGCACAAAGGGAAGGCGTGCCACTGTCATTGACCCAGACCACCAAGCGGTGCAGACCCCTGTGTCTTCTCTCTAGGGGCTCTGCCAAGGTTATGACCCCACTACTAGAGCCAATCTCAAACAGACGAAAAGGGTTTCCGCCTACCAGAGCGTAGCGGAGATCGGCATTAGACCCTGTGTCGCCATCGGAGGCTGTGACTGTGCGGACTACAGTCCGAGCCCCGCTAGCGGGTGGCAGGAGGGTGTATGATTCATTAGCGGGTGATGTGATGGATGGCACGTTGTCATTTTCATCAGTGACAAACAGGGAGATGGTGGCGGTGGCAGACCGTGGCGGTTCTCCACCATCAACGGCACGCACGCGGAATGAGTATGCGCTACGTCGTTCGCGGTCAAAGGATGCAGAGGAAAAAATGGTTCCAGTGTTATTTTCAATGGAGAAAACTTCTTGCTTTCCCTCCTTGCCCTCTTCTCCACTATCCTCTTCATCATGCTCAACAAAAAGACTCAACTCTGCATTCTCACCTTCATCTGCATCGGTAACAGTCACCATGCCAACAGGGCTATTGGTGAGAAGGTTCTCTTTGACATAGAATGTGAAGACTTCCTGGACAAATTTGGGGGCATTGTCGTTCCTGTCCGTAACCTGGACTACGACAGTAGCAGAGCCCTGCAGAGATGGTGTGCCTTTATCTCGAGCTATCACACGAAATTCATAGCGTTCCCTCTGCTCTCTATCTAGTGCCCCAGTGGCACGAATATCACCGTTATCGGCATCAATGTAAAAAGCTCCATTAACAGACGGGTCCAGTGAGTATGCGATCTCTGCATTCTTGCCACTGTCTGCATCAGACGCCACTACAGTGACCACTCGTTCTCCTGGGGCATTATTCTCTGCAAAATGCACTTCGACTAAGCTTTGGGCAAAAGTGGGAGCATGGTCATTTATGTCCACCACACGCACCATAAGGGAACTATTACTCGAGAGGCTTGGGCTACCGGAGTCCACTGCCACAATAGTGACACTATACTCACGAGTAGCTTCATAATCCAAAAGTGCTGAGGTGTGGAGAAAGTATTTCTTTTTGTTTCGTTCAAAGGCATCATCTGTGGCTGGTGGAGGTGCTAGGGCTGTCTCACCCGCTGGTTTCAGTGTGAATGGTACATCTCCAACCACAGTGCAGGTAACCGCACCATTCTCTCCCTGGTCGCGGTCTGACACCTGCACTAATGCTACTGGAGTGTCCACCAGCACGTTCTCCGGAACCATTGCAGCACCATCGCGAACAAGGATTCGTCCAATTTTTCGAATTTCTACTATTGGTACATTGTCATTTTCATCCCTGACGTTGAGAACAACTGTAGTGCGGTCAGTACGAGGTGGTTGGCCACGGTCACGGGCTGTGATAGTGAAGCGTAGCTGTGAAACTTCCTCGCGGTCTATACGATGCAGAACGCTCAGCCAACCTGATGCTTCATCCAACCTCAGGAGGCGCCGCACTGATTCCGTCGCGGCTCCAAACACATACTCAACCTGCCCATTCACGCCGATGTCACGGTCTGTGGCCCGCACCTGCAGGACAGGTGTGCCAGGTGGGGCATTTTCTGCCATTTCTGCTTCATACACGGCTCTTTCAAAACGTGGACTGTTGTCATTGACGTCTGTGATGGACACGCGCAACAGAGCTTGTGAGGAGCGGGGCGGGTTGCTGCCATCACGAACCCGTAGCACCAGTTCATAAGAATCCTGTGCTTCGCGGTCCAGAGGCCCTTTCACGATCAGCTGAGGCTGTTTCTGTCCTTCAGGTGTGTCGGCCACTTGTAGTTCAAACACACTGCTCCTGCTGGCAGGACCTGTCCCTGTTTCTGACACTCTCCTTCGGTCCCCACCATTCCCATTTGTCGGTCCGTTCGCAGGTCGCCGTGAAGATAACCCCCCATCTCTACTGTCCTGGATAAGCTCATAGCGATCAATGCCATTGCGGCCAAAATCACGGTCTGTGGCTGTGGGAAGGAGATAGAGAGTGCCGATTGGGCGATTCTCCTCAACAGATAGTGTGAGTACTGGTGAAGGGAAAGAGGGAGTGTTGTCATTAATGTCTGTGACTACAATACGGCCATCAAACAGATCCACCCAACTCTGCAGGGGACCTATGACTGACACTTCAAAGTTCAAAAAGCACTCGTTCTCGTCAAATATCATCTGACACTGCGGCAGCTTCTCTCTGTCAATCCTCTTGCTGCCTGTAGTAAGCTCTCCAGTGACGTTGTCAATTTTGAAGTATTCAGAGCCAGATTCCAAAGCGAACGTGACATCACCAGTCCCAATCCCAGAGGTGGACAGCCCCAGGTCTGAAGCCACGTTCCCGATGTGCACATCGGCCTGCCCCTCTTCCGCCACGCGGTAGCGCAGCACTGAATTGGCGCGCGGGAGCTGAGTCAGCAGCTGCAGGATAAGCACGAGGTAGCAGCGCGCGGAGTGCACTGCGCCAACGCTCCTGCTCCCCATGACTCTCTCTCTTTCTCTTTCTCTCTCTCTCTTTCACTCTCTATCTGCAGCTTCCTCTGATCCAAGACAGACTCGTCAACGATTAATCTCTATAAACGCTTCCTTCGGCAAAATCTTTTTTTTTCTCCAACAGTCTTTTAGTTACCCGGTCACGTTTTCAACACGATAAAATAAAACATCCACTTTGTGAGGAGCTCGGCATCGGCGATAAGTCTTCACAGCTCTTTTACGGACAAGAATGTTTCTTTGTGCCTTTTAGGAGTAAACGGGAGTCAGATTTGAGCAGTTTAAATGACTTTGTCCGGCTCATTGAGATGCTGCGGAGCGCGGGCTCCTCTCGCGCTTTCACTGTTTTAAACTGCAATGCAGTAGAACACAAAAGCGATCTGTCTGTGAATTCAGCTCTCACATTCGCATCCCAGAGCTTGCGCTACTGGCTGGGAATAAGCCAACGTGCTTTTGATAAAGTCTTTCCCGATATTATTTGTTCTCTTACCTTAAAACACAGCAAGAGGAAAACTGGAAAGCTTTCACCGCAGTCTTACGCGCTCGTGCCAAGCTCTTACAGATTCCTTTACGGTGAACTTGACAAAGAGAAAGCTTTTCAATTCGACTTCTCGGAGCACGTAAATTAGCCACTTATGGAAAGATGGTGAGCAGGATAGAGAAGTAGCAACAAAAGCCTTTAGTAATTCCTCCGGAGTCCGTAGTGGATGTGTGTGAAGTGTTTGAGGAAAAAGTCCCGCATTCTCCTCCTCCCCTCACCTGCACGTTCTACTGCACTGCATGTGAACGTCCCTCAAATGATGCTGCAGTCTCTCCCTCTCTCTTCCCCCTCCGTTCACTGCAACACTTCCCTCCCCACGTAACTCGACCGTTCAGATGAAACGGGAGACCGTGAGTGTCTCGAAGGAGCTCGCGCTTTCCTTTTAACCAGTCTAAAAGCGTGTTTGTATACGACCACAAAACAAAATACCCCAGAAGAGAAAAATACACGGATACAGCCTGACAAGTCCAATGAAGCACTTGTGCAAACAGAACAACTAATTTAATACAAAATAATTTTCACAACAATGTCCTACATGAGCACACCGTTTGAGTCAGTTTCATTTGACAAATGTACATAAACACAGCAAAAGCAGTACTTGTTAACACTGAAACGCATTTTTCTACAAAAACCATTAAAAAAAATAAACATTTTAAATTCGAAATAATATGAAGAATGTGTATTTAAAAAAAAAAAGATAAGTAAAAAAGGTTGTAAGAAAACACAAAGCTGTAAAAATCTATAAAATATAGCATTTAGATTGGTGAAAGTGTGTACAGGCTACACAAAAAGAAATCAAGCAACCATAACAACTATTTACATTTGTTTTGTATACAAGTGAGTGGCGTTGCACTGAGGCAGTGGTTATGTTTTGTCGCCTGTAGTGAGAAGCTGTTTCATAAGAAACAGAGAGAATAACTTGGGTCATTGGGGCCTTTTACAATGGACCTGCCATTTCTAAGACATCTCATTATGGCCCTCACAAATACATATGGAAAAATGTCTTGGATATGTTCAAGTTAGATCGTACTTTCATGATCAAGTTCAACACAATGTGACTGAAAAAGGTCGCAATTTGTGATGGTCGAGGTCTTTGGCCTTAAAAGATTTCGTTAAATAGAAGCGTCAACTGTGAAACAGAAATTTAAAAGTGCCAAGACATCTCTTTTGTCCACCATATTATAAGTGTAGGCTACTGTGCAATAGATAGATAGATAGATAGAATCTATTTATATGTCTAAACGTTTTTCCTTTTGCCACAATGGATTTAGGTTAGATAGCTAATGCTATTTCGTTATTTCAGCAATTCTGATCAGGCTATAAATATAATATTCGTTTTCATATTATTATCTTTTGTTGTTATGTTTCTGAATTACGAAGAACTACTCTCTGTCTGAATGCGGCAGTGCGTTTCGCTCATCCTGTGAACAATGAGCATGTATCGCACACACTCTCTCTCTCCGGTTCCAGCACGGGCTGCTCCGTAGCCACGCGGATGCGCGAGCGCAATGCAGCACTGACTAAACGTAATACTACAGTCACACAACAAAAGGAGCAGCCCTTCTCTGTCTGCACACTCCGTCCCGTGTTCTCAGTCTCATACATGCGTTTAATTCGTGGGATGAAATGATTTGAAACTAACGTAGGAAGGTTTCCCTGGTTAAACCCAGATCGTTTGGTCATAGCAGATGAGGTTGCGAGCGAAGGAGCAGCAGCATCACATCTCGGCACGGCTGTCCTGCTGCTGCTGCTGCTGCTGCACCGGGTCTGGTTAACATTCCACCGGCGTCACCACACGTGCACGTCACTCTGCGTCTCGCGCCCTCTGTTGTTCCACCGCGCGCCTTTTGATTTCACTTCTGCAATCAATCGCCCAGTCGAAGTGGGTGGGATAGTGGATTCAGCGTTCGTGTCCCGTGAGCACCCTCCATCTTTATCCCATCACGGTAATGCGTTAGTCTAGTTAGCATACAATCCACCGGTGAAACTTTATCATCTGCAGAACAGACGCGAATAGCAAACTCCCGTGGTTATGAGATAGAATATGTGTATATATCGCCTCTAGTTAAAGCATGCGAGAAAATACAGCATATATTGTTCTGTACCTTTCCATCTGATTGAAAAGCGGCGACTATAAAGTACATGTAGCCTAGTACAATTTTTATCTTCCTCATCACCATAAAAGCAAGACAAGTACAGGTATATAGGTAGGTGGACAGACAGACAGACAGACAGACAGATAGATAGATAGACAGACAGACAGACAGATAGACAGAGACAGACAGACAGACAGATAGATAGATAGATAGATAGGTAGATAGAATCTATATTATAGTATAAACTAGGCCTATATATTCAGACGTTTTTCCTTTTGCCACAAGGAATCATTTAGGTTAGATAGCTGTTATTTCATTATTTTGATAAATTCTGATCTATATATCTATGTATCTAAAAAAATCTACTTACTACTAATCTTAACATTCATGGAGAAATTAAATCTAATTGCACTCAAATTGAGTAAATATTACTTAATTTAGAAGTTGTGTTTATTTAATTAAAGTAATTAATTAAAGTTTATTTATAACTTTATAGACAGGAATCTTGCATTTATCAAAATATTAAGTAAATCTTACACTTTACTGAAGTAAATAAGTAGGTTTTGTAGGTGATTTATCTCAAAGACATATGAAATATTACATGGTGTTCCACAAGGATCAGTTCTTGGGCCAGTTTTATTTTCATTATATATGCTGCCTTTGGTCAGCATAATTCAGAAATATGACATTATCATTTTTATGCTGATGATATACAATTATACATTTCAGTTGAGTTCAGAGACACTGTTGTATTAGAGAGGTTGTCTGACTGTCTTTCCAGCATTGTAAAGTGGATGGCCACAATTTTTTTGAAACTGAACGAAGACAAAACTGAAATTCTTATTGTGGGCCAGCAGGAGAGGATAGAAGCTGGGTTGGGTTCCTTTACGCTACAATCTAAGAAAGAAGTTAAGAACCTGGGCCTGGTTGCATGAAAGTACTTAAGTAATTTGACTTAGGGGTATCCCTGAGGGGGAAAAACTCCCTGAGGTAAGGGATTTCTTTAGGAGAGTTGCAACAGTCGTCTTAACTGTCACCCTTACCTAAGTGTTTATACTAAGCGTTTCACGGTAGTTTCTGGCAACATACGGCAATGGGCGCCGCAGTTACTATAGTTACTACATCTCACAATAAACAGATATATCTATGACAATAAACAGAACATAATGAAATACAAACCTAACCAACTAAAACACAGACAAACATTAAATAAGCATGAGCGCTGCCTGTTTCTATGCTATTTTGTGTACAGTCATTACCGAGGAAACCGCTTTGTTTCTGCAGTGAAAGCGCTTTCTGCTGACCAATGACGGAAAATTTACCAAATGGGAAAATTAACCCATGTTTTGAGGCACAAACACGCAGAGTTGTAAATGTGAACAGGTGGATTGACAAGATAACTATAGACAAATTATATTTATATTGTTCTTTAATTAATGTAATAATTGATTAACAATAATTGTTTAAATTGATATCATAATTGATACAACTCGTCCATTTACTTAAAAAGTAATGTAACACTTTTTGTTTTGTGAAAACCTGTAAGTCATGCTTTTTACAGTCATTTTACAGTTTAATGTTACCATAGTCATTGCCCTACTGCGCTCATATGATATTTTATTTGTGTAGGTTTTAAAAAATGTCTTAAGTCTTACATTTGAGTTTTAAAATCCTGCAGATACTGAGTTTAAGATGACTTAAGATAACTAAGGGATTTCTTAGCATAAGGGCTTTCATGCAACATGTCATTCTGGACTGTGACCTTAGTTTTAAGTCTCATATTAATCAAGTGACAAAAAAATTGTTTTTATCATTAGAGAACTATTGCCAAGATTCGTCCTTTTTTTATCTTTGGATGATACTAAGAAACTCATTCATGCTTTTATCTTCTCTCATCTTCATTATTGTAATGCTATGTGGCTTGCCTAAGGGTTCTATAATGAAGTTACAACTGATACAAAATGCAGCAGCCAGAGTACTAATGAAACAAATTATTGCATTGCATTGGTTGGCAGTCTATCAAAGAATTGATTTTAAGGTTATATTATTGGCTTATAAAACACTGAACAATCTGGCACCTCTATAAATTTCAGATTTTCTGTCAAGATATGTCCCGAATCTTAGTTTAAGATCCTCTAGTGCTAGTCTTCTAACACATTATACAGTAAATCATAAACGATCTGGTGGTACTTCTTTTAGCTATTATGCTCCAAAAGTTTGGAAGTGTCTACCAACTGAAGTAAAAGAGGCTACCAGCATTCATAATTTTTAAAAAAGCGGGAAGACATATCTTTTAAAAGTTGCTTATCAGTATAACAATATGGTGTGTAAGTCAGTTTTTATGTTTTATTTTATCTGATGATTCTTTTATTGTTGCTTTATTATTTTATAATGATATTCAGGTCAAACTATATGATTTATTTTACATTTTGAACCTTTTATAGTTGTTTGATTTTGATTTTATTTGATTTTATGCTTCTGAAGCACTTTGAGTTGAATTTTATTTAAAGTGCTATACAAATATATGTTTATTGTAAACATTGCTAATTTCTTTTTGATTAATATAACCACATAAACTATATTGATTTTTTCTATACCAGGGGTTCCCACTTTCATGCAGAGTTTAGCTGTTAACCCTAAGCTTACACTCTGGCTTATTCTGCAGTGTATCCAAAGCCTTCCTGTTGATAGAAACGTGTGTTCATAAGACTTTGCTTTTTAAATTACAGATTGTTTGAGCAAAAGAAAAGATTTAACTGACAAGACTGGACTCGCATGAGAGGCTTTACACTTAAATGTTCTATTAAGTTGAATACCATCATAAAGAAGCATAAAAACACTTTTACTAACCACTTACTTTTCAAAATTAGCTGCTGGCAACAGGTGCTTTAGGGTTAGGTAGTATGTTAGTTTACCATAGCGACAAAACATGACAATTTATGAGTCAAGTAAACAAGAATCAAACTATCAAAATGCACATGTATTATAAATCAGAAATCTAAAACAGAAAGGCAAACTTACCTTAAAAGAGGAGAAAATCCAGCCATGCATCCCCTCTATGACAAACCCAACCATCCATCTCTGATTCAAAGTACGGGAAGAGTGTCTTGTCCAAACACGCATGAGCAGATTCAACTTTTAGAT